TTTTTTTTTTTTTTTTGAAGACGTTCTCTTCATATGACCAGTTGCGATAGATGAAGGTAGGAAACGACGATTTTAACAAGGGAGAATTCGTCATTTAGACTTAAAATGAATTTCTTTTAGCTTCTTGGGTATTTCCAGACAATTTTAAGAGTTCCATTTCAATGAAGTCTTGTGATGAGCTACATGCAAGCTATCAACCAGAACTTTGACACAGAAAGACCTTTTCAATGCAATCTAAATATTTTACAAAATCTAATCTGACTCGACTTGATCCCATCTAACCCAGAATTGTACCATCTGATGTCTTATAATTAGCATAATTTAAATAATCAAATATTTTAAACATAAATAAAAAAAAGCGACGCATATCAGTCATCATCATAAGATTGTCAGTCCTAAGACTGGTTGGACACGCACCTCCACTGTTTCCTACCCTAAGCTTATCTTCGCATTTCCCTACAACTAGAACAACCCACATCCTTAACTATTTGCGAACAGTAATCTAATCTAGGTCTACCTCCACCCCTCCTAACTCCCGTTTCTGCCTCACATATTTCTCTGACTAGACCTTCATGCCTGAGGAGGTGTCCTACCAACCTATCTCACCTATTTCTTATTGACTTCCATAGAGTCCTCTGTTCTCCTACTCTTTCTAATACCTCTTCATTTCTAACCTTCCCTATCCAGGGTATCCTCATCATTTGGCGGTAACACCACATTTCGAACGCTTCTAACCTTCTCTTTTCCGCCGCGACCACTGTCCATGTTTCGCACCCGTACAACGCCGCATTCCAAACATACACCTTTAACAAAACTCGATATAAATTAGTATGGACGTTGCCCGCGGCTCAGCCCGCTTTAATGTCCTAAATACGTGTCAAAGATCATCGTCGACCACATAAAACTAATTTTTCTATCCCTCGGGAACACCATCTTTTTTCTGAAAAGAAGGTACCCTATGTCCTTTTCTGTATACCTGTTAATGTGTGTAGAAAATTTGATAATGATCGGTTGAGTAATTAAGACGTGAAATAGTAATATACAAACTCATTATATAATAGAGGTATGTTCAGTGGAGGATTATCCATAAGGCTTGCGAAGACCAGAAGTGATTACCATGTTATAACAACTTATTATTTGGGCTAGACGCAGGTACAAAGGAACAAGGAGTAATAGATGTAATTGTCCAGTGGCGTAGCTAGAATTTATTTTGTTCAATTTCAAATGGCCACACACATCACTATCCATCTATAAGAATAGGTTTTAAACCATCATAAAGTGGCGGACTCTGGCAATTTAGGTTTAGGGTGTACTTATTTCCATTTTACCAACATTCAGATTTAGTTGTTGAGTTTGTTTTAAAACAATACGAATTTAATAAATAGCGAGTTATTTGGGTATTACAGATATACGATTGAATTTTATTTGTAAGTAGGTTGCAGTAGGATACTCGTACGAGGGGAATTTTGCGAATTTATACTTACATGATGATTACAAACTAAACATATATTGGTAACATTATCTGGCATCCTCGAAGCAGACTGCGGGTGTGTTAAATAGGATTACCGACCCCACAGGGGCTCAGACATTTTAATCCGCCGTTGACCTGTGCCTTTCTAATATTTCTGAAAATCCGGTATTACGCATCGCCGATCTTTGCCTCTTTGCTTATTGCGAAATGGCTTCGATACCGTCAATTTTAATAAGTCCGTACTCCTGCTTCCAATATGTACTCGAAGAGAAATTCAATTTGAAGGGATTAAAGGTCATTTATATTGGGTAAAAAATGTTCAACTCTCAGCCCTTCCGTGTTGTGCATGGCGCCATATATTCATAATCAATAAAACCGATCACGTATTAATAAGACAACAATTTATAATTTTATTTTTGATTCGATCTTATCAATTAAATTCGAAAACAAAAGTTTCCACAGATTTTTTAAAAGCTATAAGTATTACCTTAAGTAAAACAAAAATACTGGTATGCAAGGGAAGGAAAAGTAGGGAAAGAGCGATTATAAAGATACGAGACGAAGAATTTGAAGTGGCCGATTTTTTAGGTATCTAGGAAGTCAGATAAGTCAGGACGGAAGGAGTAATAGGGATATAAAGCAGAGGATAGCGCAGATACCGTGGATAGAGAAGGTTAGAAATGATGAGGTATTAGAAAGAGTAAGAGAACAGAAGGCTCTGTGGAAGTCAATAAGAAATCGGCGAGATAGGTTGGTAGGACATCTTTTCAGGCATGAAGGTTTTGTCAGAAACATATTAGAGGCAGAAACAGGAGTTAGGACGGGTAGAGGTAGATTACTGTTCGCAAATAGTTAAGGATATGGGTTGCTCTAGCTTTAGGGAAATGCGAAGATTAGCGCAGGATAGGAGAGTGGAGGTGCGTGTCCAACCAGTCTTAGGACTGACGACCTAATGATGATGATGTATTACCTACACCTGTTTATGACAATTTTGTAATAAATTTAAGAATCTTTTCGAAAAACGTCTAACCTTAAAAATTAGCGCGTTATTTTATAACGAGAAAGAAAAAAGAAAATTGACGAATTAGAAAGAAACCACAAAATCTAAAAAATATGTTTTATTCCAGTTCGACTAATACATCGTCATCAGACACTGTGTCCTTTTCCTTGATAAATACACCTTTCACCTTTCCCTGTCTGGTAGTTGTTATTGAATTCTGCATTTTCATAGCCTCTGAAAAAGAAAAATTCAAAATACTTTCAGTAATAAATTTTGTATTTACTTATACACCCCGTATATTATAACAAATAAAGCTTAACTTGTTTGTATTTTGAAGCTAGGAAGCTTATAGAGTTGATAAATTAATTCTCAGTTCGGCTTACCAATGACGCATAATTCTTGACCTTCTGTCACAAAATCACCAACTTTGCAGGAAATGGTTTTGACAAGACCCGGCATTGGGGATTTAATTAATTTTGACGCATCCAGCTGGAGCTTCTGAGGCATCAGGTGCAACATGTCCCCAACCAATTTTGTAAACACTCGAATTTTATACGACGTACCTGCATATCTGGAAGGGAAAAACTTTTGACGCACTTTACCAATACAAAGAACACTTTTTTTACATTATATCCATTCAAACAATTTGGAGGGAGGCAGATGCCTAGAATTACGATGTCGAAAATCTTTAAAATAGTTTATTAAAGGAACTTTTAAACTTGATGGAATGCTTGTTATAATTACTGTTCACTTTTTTCAATTTAATTAAGAAGAGTGGCATGAGTTATCATACTTAGAATAAAAGTTGTTAAGAACGAACACCGCATGTGACGATCAATACAGCCACACCCGTGAAAGCTGTGATAATAAATCATACAGCGAATAATACAACGCGAACAGAGAACCTACGAGAAGTTTTAGGTTTTTTGGTGGAATTAAACACACTTTGCAAAAGTAAAATTACTGAATAAAACACAATTAAAACTTAACAAATTTTGGAAATAATCAGAAATGTTCAACGGCTGTATCTATAAATAGGTGCCCAGAATTCAATTGGATAATAACGGTATCAGAAAATACAAAATATTTGAGGACACTTTTCTTGAAGTTAGTTGACGTATGTCTATATATATGTTGATAGTCTTAAGCAGTTTGGGACCCGTTTAGTACCCATATATTAGGTATTGTTTTGAAGAACCATTATCTGTCATATGATACCTAAGCATCTTCAGAAGTTCCTCATGTAAAAATTGCGAATGCTAATTTTGCATTTCATTTATACAAATAACTCCTGAAGATCCTTTAAGGTCACAGTGTTATACTTCATTTACTTTCTCTAGCGATGTGCCCCTTTTAATGTCTTGGATGAGCGTTGGCAAGATCGTAGGTAGGGAGAAAAAAGCTCATTATACCCTCGACTCTGTTTCATACAGTACCTGCCAAAAGTTTTGTTCAATCATGAATAGTAGTGCGAGACGAAAACAAGCGTTAAAGCCTTTAATATATCTTCAAATATAAATAAAATCTCGTTAATATTTTCGGTAGTAATTGGTACCAGTAACAGCACATTTGAGCAATGCAATTGTAGTGGATATAATGGTCAATTTTTCCGTGCAGTACTGTACAGATTATACAGTCCTCACCGGTTAAGAGTTTGATCGAGAGTTGTCTCCTTTCTTTTCTGGCCTAGTGCTGTTCTTTTCTATTTTGCGCCGGTCAAGCTGAAGGTCACATCGCTACAGAAACTAAACGAAGTATAACCAAATTATTAATTTACAATAGTTGCTTACATGAATTCAAAATTTCCTACAGAATCTTTGGAAGCCAATTGTATCAGCATTTCTTCGTCATTAATAATGGTAGATAAAATCGGTTTGGCCAGATTAAGATCGCCTTCTAGTTTTAACTCCTTTCCACCAATTTCCACAAAGAATTTATTTTCTCTTCTCTTAACAACAACAGAAATATTTTTTTCAAGAAATGAGACGAGCAGTTCGCACGTATCGAACATTTTATCGTGTTTTTTCATTATTGGTACGTTTAAAAACATTCTGTTCCTCAACTGTTGTGTAATGTACAGCGCGGATGCTATAGCGACGAGCTTTTCCGTATCTCTTTCGTTAAGTGTTCTTCCCTTAAAGCCCTCGGGGTAAACCTGGGGCAGGTAGTTGGTGCTTATGTCGCCTTTGACGAACCTATTTTCGGTAAGGATGTCGCGGAGCAAAGGAATATTGTGAATAACGCCACGTATGACGTAGGAATCTAACGCGTTTATATTCCTTTTTATAGCTTCATCACGATCCTTGCCGTAGGTTATCAGTTTGCAAATCATCGGATCATAATATAGGCTGATTTCGCTACCCTCTTCGATTCCACTATCACAACGAACACCTGGCAGATGGGCTGGCTCTATATATTTATACAATCTACCTGAAAATGATAAAACTCACCTTACCAAACAGAATAAATTAATTTGTTTTTAAAACACAAATTAAAGGACATAATATCATTGCAAGTGTTTATTTATTTTTATACAATCTGATCAGTATTTCGGAATATTGAAAGGGTTACATCTGGAGGCACTATAGATATATAGAATGATTGAGAATAGTTGCCAGTTTGGCAGCTGCGTTATCTTATCGCCTTTCGTTATCGTAAGCGTCAACTGACGAAACACACATACCTATTCGCGACCTTTGTAACAGCTGATATGTAGACAAGTCAGTTGTACGTAATCATTAGTAATAATCTGCACTAGTTAGCGTTCAATTGGCAAAGTATTACCACAAAATACAAAAATAAATTGAGTGTAAAAATATCAAACAAAAACCAACGGTGCAATGGGAATGCACTACGCCATCACGCGAATATCTTTATCGTCCTCATTGCCGGAGCGAGTAAGGCTTTCGGTTAGGTCATTACCCTCATGTTTATGTATATCACTAAGTGGTGCGAGATGGCTCATTTCACTTCTTTTTTGCGTACCTTTTTCTCCCTCGATTTTTCTGAAGTATTGATCAGACATAGTGTACATGTTAACGGAAATGTGTGTAATTCGTTATTGTAAACATTTCCTAGGATGTGTGTGTATTAGCTAAAAAAATCTTTGAAACAATATGTTATAGATTTCCTAAATAGTCTCGGAATTGTATACTTTTCCTAGGAATTGTATACAATTCCTAGATTTCATACATTTCCCGTAACGTATATTTTACATGATATTGGACCATCGGTCCTTACAAGAAAAGTTCTCGATTTGTTCATCTTGATCTTGATATTAATCTCTTACGAGCATCTCATTTTTGATATTTCCTTGGTTTTCAAGACAATACAAGATCGATAGATTTATGACATCACGACCCTTGTGGCAGCTCTATTATCGGGGTACGATATGATATTTGTATTCTTAATATGTTTAATAAAATTCACTATTTGGATTATTTATTTTCATTCTGATTCTTAAAAGCGTAACAGCGAAGTCACCTCTTCTACGAAATCTCCTGTTTACTCGTAAAGGAGTCCTTTGATTATTATAATCATTTACCGTTTTGTAGAGACAGGGCCGGCCTTAGCCNTTACGAGCATCTCATTTTTGATATTTCCTTGGTTTTCAAGACAATACAAGATCGATAGATTTATGACATCACGACCCTTGTGGCAGCTCTATTATCGGGGTACGATATGATATTTGTATTCTTAATATGTTTAATAAAATTCACTATTTGGATTATTTATTTTCATTCTGATTCTTAAAAGCGTAACAGCGAAGATTTTGTACGACAATGGTACAAATAAAATTATTGTATGGATGTATTTTCGGACATTAGAAAGGTCGTATTTCATTTGTGACGTTTCTTAAAGTTTTATTTTAGTTACGAGGTAGTATTTACAAAATATATAATCCGCGAGTTAAGTCACTTCCAAAACGACGGACCTCAAAGAGGTCGTAAATTTTTATTGGATCGTTTGTTCCGACAATTTTCGAAAGTGCTGAACTAACAAGTCTAAAAATTGGAAAACAAAATAATAGCACATAAAAATCACCGTATATATACCTACTTTACGCACTCTGTTGAAGACTCAAGTTCCACTTACTGTTTACTTTTACGGTTACGACCTTTTCCGTTATAAAAATGAGAATATAAATTATATCGTAACGTTAATGTTTTCAGATTTAACACAATTCTTACACAATAAGGCCAAATATAAACAAAAAGGCCGTATACTTTATCTAGAAAAAAACTATTTTTTTCTGTTAATTTCCTAATATATCTAACCCAATAGTATTAACATTCCAATAATAAGTATAATTTTTCGTTGCTGTTATTAGAAGAATTCATTGATTCGGCCGCTAGGTTCAAATCTGTGGAAAATCGAGTAAGTTCAGCCGGAAAAAATGCTTTAATATGTTTATTGGAGAGATCATTTACCTTCTGTACATATATTACTTTAAGTATTAGTTATTGAAATAAAAGGAATATTAAATCACAATTAATGATAATGCAATTATCATACGTGTATATTAACATGTAGTCAGCACTAATTTTGTTTATACATTTTAAAACATTATCCAATAGTAATGTCATGTCAGCAGAAGATTAAATAATTAAGAGAGCTCTTACTCCTACCGTAAAGGGTTGTTACCTATTGTATATGTATACTCACATTATAAGAGAATATGTAACAACATTCTAATCATTCGTGTCTGCCACTTGAAATATTGTTTTAATTTTTTGCATCTACCTGATCATAATGCAGCCGAATTTAACATTTATTTTTGAGGGTTACGAAATCATTTTAACTGAATTTACCATTAAATCGGCCGAATTATTTACAATCGCTGTTCCAAAAGACAGTTTAGATAGTTAGTCAAAAATACAACAAAAAAACACAAAAGCCAACAAGTTTGTCAATTGGTTAATATAAAAAATACAAATGCACATGTATTAGGGAAATCAGTGCAGCATTATTACCTGTTTCCTTCAACGGTTTTTATTTTATATCAATTTAATGATTCACGATATTGACATGATGCAATACAAACATCAAAATTTAAAGTGCTTTCTATGGGATATGTTACTAATAAATAGATACAATTTACAAGTCATCGAATTAGGCTCATTTCGTCGCGTAAAATTCGAATATTATAAAGATTTATGCTCGCGAACGGTTAATTAAGACATTCAAAAAGGTTGTTAAAGGTATATGTTTGGAGCACGACGCCGTACGGGTGCAAAACATGGACAATGAGCGTGGCGGAAAAGAAAAGGTTAGAAGCGTTTGAAATGTGGTGTTACACGCGAATGATGAAGATACCGGATAGAGAAGGTTAGAAATGATGAGGTATTAGAAAGAGTGAGAGACTCTATGGAAGTCGATAAGAAATAGACGAGATAGGTTAGTACGACACCTTCTCAGGCATGAACGTCTAGTCAGAGACATTAGAGGCAGAAATGGAAGTTAGGATGGGTAGAGGTAGACCTAGATTAGATTAGTGTTCGCAAATAGTTAAGGATATGGGTTGTTCTAGCTTTAGGGAAATGCGAAGATTAGCGTAAGACAGGAAAGAGTGGAGGTGGTGTCCAACCAGTCTTAGGACTGACGACCTTATGTTGATGATGATGATGACTAGAAACTGCTAATAACTCACCAATGCTGGGTAAACCAAAATTTTTGTACGGGTCTTCAGCGTATACTCTGCTTTCTAGTGCCCAACCGTTAATTTTAATATCATGTTGTTTTATATTTAACGGATGCCCTTTAGCAACTTTTAGCATTTGTTGAACAAGATCGACACCTGTAATACTTTCTGTAATTGGATGTTCAACTTGCAGTCTGGTGTTCATCTCCAAGAAATAAAATTTTCGATTACTGTCGACTAAAAATTCCACTGTACCAGCTGTAAAAGAAAATAATCATTTAACAAATAAAATTCCCATTCAGTTTGACTTTTTATGAACAAAATATTGTCTGTAACTCATGTATATATTTATAGATATTTGTATTACAAAAATGGTAAAATTAAACCGGCAAAATACTTTAAAACCAACAAAAGAAAATTCGCTTTAAGAAGAGGGTTTTCTTTGTAATGCATTATTAAAATATAGATGTTCAGTCTGCTTAACCAAAGCAAGCGGGGAAATACTTTAATCTAAAAATAACTTCGTCTTGAGAATTGAAAAGGACTTGTTCCATATGTAGAAAATGCTTGTTAACCGTTTTAAATCGTTCTCTTTTACCCTTTATGCTCGTTGAGCAACCCCTTTATTGTAGACTGTTGTTATGCCTTATTCGAACTTCATTAAAGCGAACGAATAATAAATAACGAAATTCTAGTCTTGCGAATACAATTTGAGCTGTCCTGGACAATTTTGCAGATTTTACTGTAATATTTACCTGAAGAATACCCTAGCTTTTTACATAAAGCTACAGCTTGTTCGCCCATCAATCTTCTTGTTTCTTGGTCCAAAAAGGTACTGTAACACACAAATTTGTTTTATATTAGTCCCTCTAATGATCTTAGGTAATCTCAATTTTAGTAAAGTTAAATTGTGACATTGGGTCTCGGTAGATATTTAAGAAATCTTAATATGCATATCTACAGGATGTAACAAAAATAAGTGCGGAGCATATAGGAGGTGATAGGGCACAATAAAATAAAAAGATTTAGTAAATGTTTGTCCGAAAGTTCACTATTTTCAAGTAAAACGTAGTTGAAAGTACATTGGTAAAGAAATACTACTTATAACGCCGCACTCAATCAGCTGGTGTAGTATTTGTTTTGTATTTTTTTGCTCATGTATTGTTTATTTCTTACATTAAATTAAGGGTGATTCAGGCTGTTTATGTTAAAATCCAACCTATAGTAGCCATTTATTCTTTTAATGTTTAAACCATGCATGAAGCAATCAATGTGCAGTTCAATAAACCGATTCTGCAATACAACATTGATTAATGGAGTAGGTCAGTATATTACTGTAGAACAGTTGTTGTTACAATAATGTGACATGATACTTATTTACAGGTTTGATCCGTATCGCTGCTGTACGGACGAAATTCTTGATTTTAATAAAGATAGTCTCCAAAACAATACCTATACGCGAAATAGTAGGAAACGTTAGTCCCTCTAATGTGCCAGTGTGGCAAATTTTAAAGGAATAGTTGCTGCATCTCTATCATTTGCAGCAAGTGCAAGCCTTACTTGAAATTGATTTTTAGCTGCGTCTGGATTTCTTTCGAAAGAAGAGTGCTGCATGGCCTATTTTTTCTCATAGGATGTTGTTCACAGACCAATTTGTTTCACGCAAGACGAAGTTTTGAATTTTATAATAATCAGTTACTTCTACAGGATTAGGTACTTTTGTAATTTTTATCATTATTATAATATTGTCTTCAGCCCGAAGATTGGTTGGACATGCACCCCCATTCCTCTCTATCTTGAGTCAGTCTTCGCATTTCTCTTCTTATTTATGAACAGCAATCTAAGTTTAAGTCTACCGCAACCACTGTTAACTCCTGCTTCTGCTTTTAGTGTCTCTTTAACGATCTCTTTACGTTTGAGGTGTCTTACTAACCTATCTAGCCTCTTTCTTATTGATTTTCATAATGCCCTCTGTTCTTCTACTCTTTCTAATGCCTCCTCATTCTATCCACGACATTTTTAACATCCCCTTATAAAACTACATCTGACATGTTTATAATATTGTTTAAATACATAAAAAATAAAATGTCGACCAGTTGGAATTTATGTCCAGTTTCCTTAACTAAATTCATTGAATCATTAGTTTGTAATTTGTTTCTTATTTTTCTCTTACGATTAATTACTGTAATATATTTCATTATGAGTGCATCAAGAAATACCTTTTTAGTAGACACCTACAACATGACTATGCTCTTTTTCTTACCTGGGTGCCTCCTCTATAACTTTTTGATTCCTCCTCTGTATGCTACATTCTCGTTCGTACAAATAAATAGCATTGCCGTATTTGTCTCCCAACACTTGTATTTCTATATGCCGAGGATTATCGATGAATTTCTCCACCAGCATTCGACTGTCACCGAAACTAGACAGCGCTTCTTGCGTTGACAATCGGAAACCCTCTCTAAAAACAAAAAGTAAAGTGCAAGCAATATATCTCTTCTCTGCGGATTTCAACACACGTTTACATCACACACTTGTGCTTCTACATCTAAAAATTCCGTGTCATGAGGCAACAACATTGGCGAACTAGAAAATTGTTTGGTTTTCATTTCATGTATATATTAGGTTGATACAACATTTCATACATTCATAAAACAAACGGAAGAAATAGAGACAATATCATCATCATAAGGTCGTCAGTCCTAAGACTGGTTTGACACGCACATTCATTCTTTCCTATCCTGAGCTAATATTTGCATTTTCCTAAAACTAGAATACCCTACATCCCTAACTATTTGTGAACAGTAATCTAATGTAGGTCTACCTCTACTCCTCCTAACTCTTGTTTCTGCCTCTAATAGACCTTCATGCCTGAGAAGGTGTCTTACCAATCTATCGCGCCTATTTCCTAGTGACTTCCATAGAGTCCTCTGTTCTCTTATTGTTTCTAATACCTCTTCATTTCTGACCTTTTCTATATCCACGGTATCCTCATTATTCGCCTGTAACACCACATTTCGAACACTTCTAATTTTTTCTTTCCCGCCCCGCCCACCGTCCATGTTTCGCACCCGTATAGCTTCATTATTACTATTATTTATTGTCATACAATACTGTTTTATCAATCCCGCTTCCATTTTATTTAAAGCTATCTTTAACTTCCCCTTGCTAGATGCTAATACTGCTATATTATCTGCAAATCTAAGCATACTAATCTTTTGCTCCTGTATATCTATCCCTACAGTTGCACTGCCTTTAATGATGTTGATTGCGTCTTCGATGTATAGATTAGAAAGTAGAGGTAACAGTGTGGATTCCTGTCTGACTCCCTTCCTAATATCTACTTCTCTACGTTGCAGACCCAGCTCTATAACTGTCTGTTGCTCTTTATACAATACAAACTAGTCTCTTCTATCTCTGTAACTCATCCCTACATTTTTAAGTATATTTAACATCTTGTCCCATTTAACATTGTCAAAGGCCTTTTCTAAATCTACAAATCCTATGTACGCACTCTTTCCTTTCTATATCGGTTTCTCTGTTGTTACCCGTAAAGCTAGAATGGCCTCTCGCGTTCCTCTATTTCTTCTAAACCCAAATTGATCTACCCCTAATAGTTTTTCCGCGTTTTTTTCCATCTTCTTCTGTACAATTCTAGTTAACATTTTTGACGCATGAGAAGTTTAGCTAATTGTTCTAAATGTTTTCAAAAATTTTAGTTTAATACCTGGCTTCGTCATCATTTCTGGCAAGCCTCATTCCCTTCCCGCCTCCACCCGCGGAAGCTTTGATCATCACAGGATACCCTATAGATTTGGATATCTCAACACAATGCTCGGCATCTTTTATAATCCCATCAAATCCAGGGATGGTATTCACTCCGGCAGCCATCGCTAACCTCTTCGACTCTAATTTATCTCCCATTCCATTTATTGCTTCAGCGGATGGACCTACGAAGGTTATGTTCTCGCCCTCCTGAAATCCTTAGAGCATTCCAGAATAATTAGCCGAGTAAATATAGCATGCGACCTACCAATAGTTGAACAAAAGATGAATTTTCGGATAGAAACCCGTAACCAGGATGCACTGCTTGAGCACCAGATTTTCTCACGGCATCTATTATTTTGGCAACGTCCAAGTAGGAGTCCTTAGCAGGCGCAGGGCCTATGAAGATTGACTCGTCTGCCATTTTAACATGTTTCTGTAAAAAGACTACAGTATTCTTTTTGACGTGACAACGTCTTATAATTCGATGGATGCACGCACGAAAAAATATGACTCATGCGGTGTTACCTCGGTCTGAGGCGTTCCATTTAAGGCTTGAAGTGCAAGCGAGAGCGCGGAACGAGCGACAAAGAGGCACAATAGGCCTCCGCGTTCGGCAGCGTTCGACATCTGTCTCTCTCCTACTTGAGTGAGCGATGCGTCCGCGTGGACATGTTTTCGTCAAGTATGAAGTGCAGTGAAAAGTGAATGTGGTGTCAATTGTTTATAGCAACGATAATTGCGGCGATAGAGGTAATGATTCTTTCGATATTAAATATATGTTCAGTGATATATTGTCGATTTGAAGCTAGAGTTACAAAAATTTTAATGATGTTTAAAAGTTGTAAATAAATGTATCGTAAACAGACAAAGGAACGTTGTCAGTATCTCAGAATCTCTTGAGCGTTACCGAGCGGCATGGCCTAGAGGTTTAGACCATTGCTTAGCATTCGGGAGGACGTCGGTTCGATTCCGTGTCCGTCATCTGCCTTGGTCAAAGTTTTTCTGTGGTTTCCTTGGATCACTTAGGCAAATGCTGAGGCAGTAATATTCCACAGATAATCTTTCATTCTCTTCTGTCTTCATTTCGTCCGTCTCATCTTTCTCACCCGAACCACCATCCACCCATTCCCACGATTCCTGAAAAGAGGCTGAAGAGGGTCTTCCGCCCTAGTCCGGAGCGACTGTTCGCAGATCAGTATTACTGGATGATGGGAATGAAACACCCAAGTCTTTTTTTAGTGTTCGACATGGTCATCAGAACAAAATCACCGGCTTCGCTTGAGACATTAGAACAAAATACAGATCGTACCTAAAACGTGTTGAAAATTCTAGCAATGTAGTTCTTTTTTGCAATCCAATTGCGTTTCTTTATTTATACATAAGAACGGCATCCAAAAGCCTGTAAAAATGTAAGGAACGTTTCCATACAAACGCAAACATTTGTTATTGAAAAAGAAATCCTTTTAGCGCAAGAAAGCGGAGTCTTTTTGGAACAAAAACTGTTGACTTCCTGCTGAAAACAAATTCACGGCTCTTGGAAGCATTGTTTTCAACCGTTCCTTCGTGTTTAACAAAAAAGAGCTCGGCTTCGAGAAAAAGAAAAAGCTTCCTGCCAACGAGATTTAAAATGCCTTTTTCTAACGGGAAGCGTACGTTGAATAACTGCACAACAAAATGCCTCTAAATTAAATATAACATTCTTCAGTTTGCCATATAAATACACAATTTTTCTAACTAAAAATGAGAATTGTACTGCAAAGAAGAATAGTATATTGCGTACCTATATGAAATAAAAGCGGTAGCAGAGTTGCAGAATATCTAAAGATTTTTTTATGTAATCGGTCGCTGTGGAGACTTGGAGGTTTAATCTTCGCCTGGACTAAAGATATTTCCGATGAAACGTCTGGACGTAGCAATTCATTCAGACCACAGTTCTTCAGTCCGAATTATAATTCTATTTAAGCTAATGATGTTATATTCCCATATTCATTACTTAACAATTAGTTTTTAGTTTATTTTTTTGCCTGATTGTCTAAGATAAAGGAAATTTTCTAATAGCACTTGAAATAAATTAAAGGTCGCAAAAATTCACGTTTTTTGAAATTATTGAAATAATTCAGCAAATTCGAATTAGTCACAATCGAATCTTATATTTTAAAAATTTAAGGAAAGTTTGGTCAACTTTGACGCCCCCTTGTGAAAAAAGTAGATAGCTATGGAGTCAAAGAACGTTTCATTGAAACACCATTTAGGGGCACCAACTGCAATATTCTCAGATGGCCTGCTTCGAACGACAAATCTATAATACAGTAATTTCTCTTCTTTAGTAAATAAACTATAAAATGCGAGTGAAAGGGAGCTTTTATTAACAGATCAGAGAGTGTGGCAAATTAAAAATAAAGTTACATATTTGCCAAATAAAACTAAAATAAAAAAGCGAATAGACGAAAACCAAAAGTTAATTTGCAACTGAAGGTCATAACTAGGATTGCCACCCTTTTTTATACAAATAAAGTATATTGGTTATTAAAGGTCGAAAAAAAAGTACGTTGTGTCAAAATAAAGTACGATTTTTTTTATTTTATTATTTTTCTTAGAACATTTAGCAGTATTTAACAAACAATTTTCACTGCTAAACAGCTAAACAGTATCTTTGCAGTCTATATTTAGGTTGAAGTAAATAAGTAATTTATTTCTTATCAGATTCAGAAACGCTTTCTTTTGTTTATTTCGCCATATACTATTCATTACAGAAAAAACCCTCTCTGTAATTGCTGACGTGATGGGAATCGACAGTAAACACGAAATTAATTTATACAACATTGTCAATCGTATTAAATGTAACACCTGCTGCCATTTTTGTGCAGAAGATAATTCTGCAAAACTTTTAGAACTGTCTATCGGACTATATATTTTTTTTAATAAAGAAAACCCATATTTACATGAAGGTTTTGCATATTTAAATTTTCGTCTCTATTAAATCGCAAATTAATCAAGTAAGGCTAGGTCAAGGAGATGAAGGGTCGTTAAAATTATGTACAAGGTTGATACAACCCCCTGCTTAACCTCGATCCAATCTTACATGAAATATTTCCGTTGACAACTTTTAAACAATTCCTCCACCCCTCCCTCCCAGTCTTGGAGAAGATCGAGGGTACAAGGGGAAGGGGATTGGTTAAACCTACCACGTATTTTTTATTACACGCACACATTCATCGACGCACTTCCTCACACTGACATAATCTTACTTAAATGATTTGCGAGATATCGATAAATTAGTAATCCAGCAAATATTTCATGAAAGATTCGATCGGGGGTGAGAGGGGGAGGGGGTTTCTTAAACATTGCGCATATTTTTACAACATCCCCTTACTTCTTCCCATCGCCTTGCCGAACCCTACGCTAGCGATAAATTAGTTATTCCGTAAATATTTCATGTAAGATTACATCGGGGCTGAGATGGACAGGGGGCTGTGTAAGCATTCCGCATATTTTTACAACCCCACCTCACCTCCTCCCACCACCTAACCGAACCTTGTTGAGCGTTAATTTATGTTAAGTCATTAGAAAATTTTCTATCAATCAAGTCATGAGAAATATGATATTTTCGTGCACATTTTTGTTCTTTTGTTGTATAGAGTATAATTACCATAAATACTGTACAATTGGGATCCGTCAAATGGGCATACACCATCTGGTGGCAAAATTTATAACTCGAATGAGGAAAAAATTTACATAGGAACTGTGCACGCAAATTGTAAAATTGTTTATTAAAATAATAAAACACGTTAAAAAGGTTAAAAAATTTTTGATGATGGAGTCGACGAAGTTTTCTTCTAAAGTTAAATCAAATAAAAAGTTAATATGTTCAGTGAAAAGCTGCAATAGCACTTCAGACATAGATCTTCACTCTTCACCTACATTAACTACTTTCCAATAAAAACTAACCGTTTTATATATGTAAAAAATATATTCGGAAAATTAGAGAAAAAAGTAAACTAATAGAAGCTTGGATGAAAGCAGTAGGTATCAAAGAAGTGAATTCCGGAATAAAAATTTGTTCACGTCATTTTAATGCACATGATTATATTTCAGCAAGTATTTACCATCAGCCATAACCTTAATATTTAAAACTAGAATCATACTAAAATTATAAAGTGAGAAATTATTTATTCCTGTGTAATTGATTTAACACAATTCTAATGATACGATATAAGTATTTTGAGGTTAAGAACCTACCTGCTGCAATACAACAAAGTTGCAATAATGTGTTTGCAACGTTCTCTTAAATCGGCTTTGCACGTGCAAGTCATTGATATGATATTGCTTAAATCACCCAGAATCACCTCACCAATTATATAACGTGAATCACTTTTTAAATCCGAAGTTTGTAAAAAGTAGGCAGTAAACTTGACGGAATTTGAAGGCTAGCTTCCGGATTTGTTATTTCCGAATTTTATAATGTGATTGGCATTAAAAACTCGCTCACCTTCAACGAAATTTCCTTTCCGAGGCTTTGTGCCAGCCCAATCACATATTGTGTCGATATTTGTCATTTTATCGTAATTTAAAAACTTGGAAATTGCACGGTACACTACAGGAACTACGATAAATTTTCCCTAATCGGCGCCATGTTTTTAGGCTTCTCCCATTTGACGGATCCCAATAGTAGATATATAATAAAATATGGGTGGCAACCCTAGTTGAAATCGACAATTTAGTATTATAGTTATATTAATACTAGGAGTAGGTATGCGTGAGTATACATAAGTATATTGAAACAACTTCGTGTCAACAATATAACATAATTGTGATTTTTTTTGAACCAACTAATTAAACACTTCGGACAGATAAAACCTGGAGTTGTGACTTAAACGTTAATAATGGATTGTGGTCAAAGATATTCCAATAAAAAATTGATTTTTAGCATTATCGAGATGAGAAACTACCCAATTAAATTCATATTAAAGAAAAACTACTCATTTTATTACCGAATGAATATCAGCTTCGGAAAAAACAGCTACAGTTTTAATTCCCATCCTTTTTGCTGTACTTATGATCCTGCATGCAATTTCTCCTCTGTTGGCTATGAGTATTTTATCAAATGTTGGATCTTTGTTTTCGACATCAACTGTATATATCCCTCTACGATGTAGAAAAGATGTTGAAGCTGATTGAAGCACCTATAGATTTAATATTAAATTATTACCAAATAATCAGCATTCTTCAAATCAATATTGTTTAATTTCTGTATTTTACAAGACAATTTTATTTAAAAATACGTATATATGTCATAAAAACAATATAAAACAAATATTATTTCGTTTATATTAATAAAGTATCTATCTTCAGACATAAATAACGTTAATTGTTGTTTTAATTAATCATTTATCAAGTAAATGTGGCGATTCCTTTTAAATTATTGGTTTGAAATGTGTTAATGATAAAAATATTTTTGATTATATGTAAGCACTTACATTTTTCTTATGTATCCTAAATTGTCCACGAAGCACTACACAAACTATAGAATTTAGACTAGTCATATTTACTGTATTTGTACAATTTCAAAATGAAAAATAACTGAGTGAATGCAATAAAAATTAATGGGTGTTGCTATCGGATTTGGATAAAGATTTTCAAAAGTAATCTACGATGTTTAATTAAATGACTCAAATTTTTAAAAAGTTAATAGCACCAGCCGTAACTTATTCGATTTAAGAAAGATGAAGATACTGCAGCAGTTCTATTAAAGACAATCCAAATGTTGTTATCATATGTTTACGAACATATTCATTACGTTTGGGATTATGAAATTCTTATCAGACTGTTTCTAGTTTAACACAGAAAGCCGTACAAATAAATAACGACAATATACATGAACGTTATATCGTCAACGGTAAATAAAAATAAAAGTTGATCATTAGGAGATATTTTGAAATATCTCTGTATAATTAATAGTTAAATCTAATCCATCAAATGATATTTGTGTACTAATTCATTCTAAACACGAATACAATTTCAATAATTCAATCCTAACCATCTATAGCAGGTGAGACACTGAAGATGTCGTTAGCTAACAATCACGAAACGTGTGCAAAATGGAATGCACTACTTATACAACATAGGTACACTAGTGGTGAATTTAGAACCGAATATAGGAATATGCTATCATATGCAATAAACACAGGGTGACGTTATTTTTTGAGAAATACAATTGGTATAAGAAAAATCGTACCTACAATTATTTTCAGTCATATTTTCATATAAATAATAAAGTAATATGTCCAACAAATGCATTTCAAAAATTTTGAGATTTTGAATTTTTTGTAGTGTTAATTCAATGTATTAGTAAATTAATTCTTTGAATTCATTTTTCCCACTATAGATAACCTCAAATTAATGAAGAAAAATTGTTCTCTGATATAATTGTTGCTGCTGTCAAAAACCCAGTCTCCTGGTTTTACGCACCAGCACTCATTAATTTGAGGTGCTACGCTTTGTTTAAAAGATTTTGAAAGGTTAGTTTAGTGAGTTCTTAGTGAAGCAGATTATATTTTTAGATACACGTGGTTGAAAAATATATGTATATTCCATACAATTTCACCAAATGGTGTTGTACCCGTGGGCATAAAAAGAAAAGATGCCAACATAGAAATAGTTGCATAGTTTCTATATAAGATAAACCATCAAAATTCAACTTTCCTGCTAAATTCTCTTTGCTTGTTTATTTAACTTTAATTCATCTATGGTAAAATACCTACGTATTAGGTAATTAATGTTCACACAATTTTAATGCAAAATATTCACTAAATTACTTCATATATACGTTTTATCAAATTTCGTCATTTTGTTGATTGCACAAAAGCCAACAATTAATCTTTAACAATTTATTTTCCTTTTAATTAATTTGTTTTAATCTATTAGATAATAATTATCATAATTAATGTGTCATAAACTGTATGTATGTTAATACATCACTGTTAATTAGTAAATATTAAAAATTGCAATAAACTCACATATTCTACATTTCGTAATAAAGTTGTTTTTGCTGAACATCGATTTATCTATGCAATGTTTATATGATTACAGAAACTTAAATTATAAATCAACTTAAAATTGAATTGACTAGACTATAACTTGACCATTCCTAAGGATGTAAATAGAAGTTTATATAATGTCTCTTCAAAATTATTATTACTAGTAGATAAAGTATTAAATATAGGTAGTTGTCAGAAAGGTATGCTAACAGCGGCTTCTGATTCAAATATGCTGCAAAGAACTTTTTTTGTGGAACTTCGGGAGTTAATGTGAAAAAAAGTTACTTTTATACAAAAAATAGTAAATAATTAATTGTACGAAATGCCTACAAAATTTGATTTGGTGACATTAGAAATTAGCAGTGAAGCAAAAAACACAATAGATATAAAAAATCTATCAAAAAATAATAAAACTGTCATTTTTACTGCATATAAAAAAAACTAATATTTTTTTGCACATTTCATGTTTAATTATTAAAACTTAAACGCCAAGGAAGTTAGTTAATTTTTTTTTTGTGTTAATTTCCTGTCATGACTAGTATTTAAGTCAAGCTAATTCAAGAAAAAATAGACCATTCAATTCGCTTTACAATGAGCTTTATTATTTATTCATTACGTTATTATTGTATACGTTGTAAGGGTTTTTGTGTTAAAAGATTAAATAACAAGGAAAAAACCTTAAATGCGAAGGGAACATTTTTGTTTCCACAGAACCCACAGCTGAACAGTAGATAAACAAACGTTTACATCTTTTCTTTACAGATATAATATTTTACATGTTACGTTATCAATACTAAAATAATTATTGCGGGGATAATTAGGCTAGAAAGTTTTTGTTCAAATTACACTTTCAGAATATGGTTTCTTGTTTTCTACGACGCTGATTGGCTGATCATAAGAAAAATCTTAAAACCCATTTATAAAAGGGTGTGCAAACTTGAAATGTGACAAGGGAGATAGGTATTACATAATGAAAACAGCGTGAAAAGATGCAATTCTTTCTTTGATAGTGTATGCGGTGTCGTACAGTGTCGTAAAATCAGTTTCCCTTGTAACAAAATTGAAAAGGTCAGGAATCGTTGATTGGTTAGAGGTTTTAAAATCAAAAGTTGATTCATCAAAATCAAAGCGTTTGAAATCAATAAATCCTTCCTAATTAATATGTGGGAACGGTCCTCCGATTTGATGAATAGGTCACGTTTTTGTCAATTCGAAATCAAACAGTGAATTACGGTAATATATGTGACGATGCGTGTGGGAAGACATCAAGGAAGCGGTAGGTACGTGCTACGCTGTACAGAAGCCAGCAAACACGAAAGAAGGAAAATTATTATCGTTATTTAGCCGGTCGGGTACAAAGGGTCGATACCCCTGTCTCTAATTCCAGCCGGGTGTCCGGATTCAATGTGTAGTTAAGGTCACGTGTCATACGACACTTTACTGTTACTTTTATAGCGTTACGCGTCGATTTATATTATTCAACAATTTTGCACAGGCATTGCCCTTTTCTGCTTACTGTGCACCCAAATGAAAATAAAAACGGGAATAATGAATGACTTCCAGTAGAGCAAATAAACGCCGGTATCCCTCTCACAATCAGACAAATATTTATTAAAAGAAATAAAGCAAATAAAGCAGCGAAAATGTCACATAATCAATGCGGTTAGAAATAGTAATAGGAACATTATATATCAAGTGACGAATCAAATTTATCTTTATACAGTTGGTGGTGTTTTGAGCAGAGACGTATGTAGGTACAATTTCGACTTGGCGGGTTACGAAAGAGCACATAAAAAATATAGCCGATAGTCGTTAAACAACATAAATTTTCCTCTTGTTTTTAAAAAATACATAATTGCATGCGGCGCTATAGGGAATATAAATTTTTGAAGTGAAACTTCTTTACGCACGGTAGGGTAAGTTCGTTTCATGCGAGTTGCTATGTAACGAAATCATGCAACGCATTTCCCCCGCTGTCTGTCCCTACGTATGCTTAGATCTTTAAAACTACGCAACGGATTTTAATGCGTTTTTTTTTTAATAAATAGAGTAATTCAAGAGGAAGGTTTATATGTATAATACATGCATAATATAGTAGAGAAACACTGATAATTTTAGAGGTTTGTAATGTGATGTCGTAAATAAACACATTTTTTTGCGCTTACATTGCAAACGCTGGCTGAACCCTACGAGATAGATCAAAATGATATACTACAGTATTGTACTCCTTAAAAAAGTCTACAAAAAAGTCCGTGATGGTATATGTCTATCTCTTAGGGATAACTCACAATAACCATTTTTTATCCTTTACTTTTTACGAGAAATAATGGCTTATTTACAAAGCGATTTTAAGCAATACAGCATTAATCCTTATCCAATTAAGTACTTTTAAATACATTGTGCATTTAATATAGATCAATATGGCCCTTTACAGCATGTAATTTAAATGAATATTTTCGAAGATATTACAGACATAAAATGCAGGAATATAGCGGTTGCGGCGGTACTGGCCGGTTTGATGACAAAAAAGCTGTGATTGTTGTATAGAAAGACATTCTATAGTATATTTACTATCAGCATTGCACCCGTGCGAAGTATAGTATACAAATAATACCACTAAACTAATCCCTTAACCCCTATCCCGGTATCTTTGTCTGTTTGAACTTTAGTAGTGTTTTGTATAATTACACGTTGCATTTTGTTTCGGTAAATGGAGGAGATTAGCGTACTTTCTTGAAATTTTAATAAAAAGCAACCTCTTAGAACTGAGCTATAGCGCTTATGTTTGGTGAGGATTTTTTTACATCATATGGAAACATTTGAGAGGGTAAGAGCAAAGAAAAAAATATAAAAAAAATCTTTGAACCACCCTAACGTTTTCATCTATTTTTCCAGCTTTCAAAAATTAAAAGTTACAACGACGTGTTATCGACATCTTTCAAATTAAACAAGTAAGGCTAGGTTAAGGGGGGGAAGGGTTGTGAAAAGTATGTATGAGGTTGATACAACCCCCTCCTTGTTATCCTCGATCCAATCTTACATGAAATATTTCCATTGACAACCTTTAAACAATTCCTCCCACCCCTCCCTCCTAGTCTTAGAGGAGATCGAGGCTACCAGGGGAAGGGAGTTGTTTAAACCCTTCACGTATTTTTTATTAGAAGCACACACACTCACACTTACCCACATACTTCCTCTCCCTAGCACAATATTACTTAAATGATTTGCGATATATCGATAATTTATTCATTCTGCAAATATTTCATGAAAGATTAGATCGGGGGTGAGAGGGAGAGGAGGTTGCTTAAGCATTACGCATATTTTTACCCCACCCCACCTCATTTCTTTTCACCGCCTTGCCGAACCTTACGCGAATAATTTGCGAGATATCGATAAATTAGTTATTCCGCAAATATTTCATGTAAGATTAGATCGGGGCTGAGGGAGGAAAGGGGCTGTGTAAGCATTGCGCATATTTTTACAACTCCACCTCATCTCCTCCCACCACCTAGCTGAACCTTACGCGAATAATAGATATCAATAGATTAGTAATTCCGCAAATATTTCTTGTAAGATTAGATATCGGGGGTGAGAAGGGGAGTGGATTGTTTAAACATAGTACAACATGCTAAAATTTCAGTAAAATCCGAGAGGTGTAGAGTGAAGTCGGTGAATGTGGAATAGGTCAGGTAATGTGGAATACCATTTTGCACTAAAACTAGAAGTGTCATCTACATTCTAGTTGCTGTATTAGG